AAGTAATATATATATATATATATATATATATATATATATCGAGTTCCCATCAATGCCTCATTGGTGGACCGCGAGCTTTTCGAACGCGAATCAAGTGTAAAGCTTGAAATATAGATCGCTTTTTTTTTGTTTTCCTTCCCTACGTGATTACCACAACGGACGACTGGCACTGCGCGGCGCACAGTTCGAAAACAACTGTATTGGTGTGTGCATCGTTGCAACGAACGAATATCGGAAAATGTTGCGAAAGCAGCGCCGTAACGTACTGCAGGCGGTGAATAATAAAAATAGTTGATAGTCATAAGCTATGATGTTATGCCGGCATACTGGTATTCAGTTCCTCCGATAGTTTTCGCTGGATGGTGGAAAACTAAGTTCCCGACTCGCGCCGTGTATATAGACCTTCATTTATCGTGTATATAATAGTTTACCACTCTCCAACGTGTCATACTTTCTTTCTGTTATATTTTGCCGTACATTCATTTTTTATGCATGTCTTAAAAATTCCTTCATTGTCGTTCGTCTTGGCACCTTCCGCTGCGTATTGTCTGCCGGAGAGTTTCAAGAGTTTTGAAGATCGTACCGACGTTTAAAATAGCGTTGTGACTTTTGAAGGAAAAGAATAAAATACGCTAAGGGATATCTTAGAGGATAGAAATACATTTTTATTTCTGTGATTTTATAAGCTCATAAAACCGCCTTGTATCGCCAGCGGCGATGATTGTACATGTATAAACTTTTATCTTCTAATGTAACTTTTTCGAGACGATGTAAAACAATATCGAAAACGAAGGACAGACTGTGCCGCGTCAAAGTAACTCCGACGTCACTTCGGGTTCTGGTCGCTAATAGTTCTCGGTTTCGAGAACTTGAAGTTTCTCAACATTTCCCGCTTCGTCCCGTATCCTCCACGACACGGGAGCGTAATTTCACTTTGAAACGTTCGCAAACAAGTTTACCGACTCTCAAGGGTTGCTAATGTCTATACATTTGACGCAAGATGCGCTTTAATCGCGCTATATTAATCGCTCGCCGAGTAATTACATTTCTTTTTTCCTTCTTTTTTTTTTTTTTTGGGAATGGCAGTCTCCTTTATCTCGCGTAATTCGATGCGCGCCGAAAGAGCATTGCATGTGACGTTACGTAATTCGCGGCCTGGAAAACTTTCTACTAATTAATTTCTCCTTCAGTTTTCTCCTTTGACCTCTCCTTCACGTCTAATTCGGATGTACTTTTGATTTCAGTATGCGGCGATATTCACGGACAATTCTACGACCTGATGAAATTATTCGAGGTGGGCGGTCCACCCTCCTCGACCAAGTATCTCTTCCTCGGCGATTATGTTGACAGGGGTTATTTCAGTATCGAGGTGAGTACACGAAGAGGGAGGCATGTCGCGGAAGATCGCCCGTGCCGTTTCTAATCATTAAATCGCCATGATAAATATTGCATCACTATAATTAAGAGTAATTAAGAGCTAAGCAGTTAATTTACAGTTACATTCGTACATCGGTGTAGTTAGTTGGACATACAAGTAGCATAAATGTAAGTGAAAATTTATTCCTTTAGTCTGATTACCTGGGAGAAAGCTTCATCTCGAGAATTATGCGAGAGCATTCAATCACCGGACTCTGTAATTAGCGCACGTCCTAATTAATTAGTTATTAAATCGTCAGCTCGCGTACCCAGCTTATCCAGCTTAGCGAAAGTGCAAAATCGTTAATTCTACGAGAGGCTTGCTTTGATACTACGTGATTGTTTCGAATGTTTTGACACATTCACAAGTAGATAATTAAAATCGCAAATTAACAGTTAAAAACTTCTTGCACATTCTCCGACTTTTAGATCGATTGTGAATATATCGCATTAAACATATCGATTGAAATAGTTTACGCGTAATACAACAGAGTTGCAAGAATATAATCTGTTGCGTTAATAAAAAATATTCTGCTCGCTTTAGAGAGTCTATTACCTGGAAAAATCCAAAAAAATGTAGAAATTTTTTAGAAAATTCAGAAAAATCTGGGCATTTATTTTTTTTCTAATATTTTATTTTTCATATTTGAGTAGACACCCTGTTACTTTACCCTTTACTTTGTTTCAAATGTCACTTTTAAAACGCGATTTTTGGTCGGGGAATTTTTTATTTAAATACAAAAAACGCGGTATTTCCGTTGGAATAGATGCTTCGAATTTTCTGAAATAGAGAAAAGCATTCTCTCTCCACTTCGAGCAGAGAGTGGTAACAGCCAAGAGAGAGATAGCGACTCCCATGCGCACGTACAGTGCATTTGTTACTCGGAAGTATTGCGCTGTTGAATGTAATTTCGAAGCATGCGCGAATAATCAACTTCGATCCGACACAAGTGGTCTATTTTGCGAGATAAAATTTCGTCACGGGCGAGTACGTTTCATGTTCGAGCATAATGCAATATTCCGTCACGCTACAGGAACAAGAAAATGCGCGAGACGGAGACTCATTCTGAGAAGGAGAAGTAACGAGAGCAGCATCTCGAATGGCGCTCCTCTCTCCTCTCTCTCTCTCTCTCGTTCTTGCGTCTCGAAGAATTTTTACGCTGCAAAATAACGAACAATTTCCTTTCCGTGAATTCCGGAAGGGAGTTGAAACTACAAAGTTTTAGTGCGATCGTTCTAAACCGCGCGATACACAAAATGAAGTTTCGCAGGAACGACACGTAGATGTCTCGAAGAGGATAACATTTCAGGGACTCTGAAAGAAGTCGATGATGCTAGCGAGCCCTACATTGATCGTAAGACTCTTGAATATTTTGAGGACTCTGCACGTCCCTTCCGTAAGAATTTATTCGTCTTTCATAATTTATTCGAAATAAAAAAAAACAGTGAGTTCTGAGAATTTTTATTTATTTTAATTTCGTTTATTGATTTATTTCTAAAACAAGCGGCGAACATGAATGTGAAATATGATTTTCTTGTAACTTGTAACGAAAGCCATCCGGATTTTATGGAGCAATCTCTGCCGGATGCAGAAATTTATGGAAGAAATAGGGGACAATCCAATATTACACGTGGTGCGCTGCGTAACCCAAGATTTAAATATATTCTCCGCGAAGTACATTTCACAAGACAGCGCGCGCGGGCAAGATGGCTCCTTTTAAGAAAATCTCTTGATATATTCCGCGGCTGCCGTTATTCAGATCGGGATGCGTCTTCGTGGATTCTCTGAATAATGCAAGGCGCAACATGTCGTCGTTGTGAGGCGCGCACGGATGCCGTCAGATTTATGACGCACGCGAACGAATGTCGACAGTCTAAAGCCGTACCGTAACGCGAATCGCTGTTTCCAATCAAACTGATGGACTGAACTAAATGGAATCTTTTAGCACTTCTTTAGAATCGATCGATACGCATTTGCAAACAGACCTGAGAT